TTTGAAAGACTCTCCATTGTAAACAATATTATTTACCTTAAATAATAATATGAATATTTTCGTAAATTAATTTTTGGTTTTAATATACATTTGTTAATGCAAACAATAAAAATTCTGAAGTAAACAAGTCTATAAGGCATTCGTAATATTAGTACGTAGTTTAAATTGTTGGGTCAATAGTTTTAACTATTACTTTTTGTAGGTATTTTTACATTATGTATGTACTTAATCTAATAATAAGGTAATAAATATGTACCATATTTTTTTTAAAATTACGTGCACCTTAATTTTCAGAATTTCAATGAGTAATAAGGTAATAAGTGAATACATAAATACTTTAAAGGTTACAAAGACCTTATCTCAAAGTAAACATAAACCTACATGTGTAATGTATTAACGGATAACAAATCTTATACGTACACATGCTTTGTATGCTAACGATTAAAGTTTTAAAAAATATAAATAAAATAATGTTTTAATTGGACGTTACACCCCCTCGCTGCTTCCTTTTTATGTTTCCGACAATTAGATAATTAAAATATGTGGGCATTGTCCACGTTTGAACACAATATAAATAAGGAATTTTTTTTTTGTAAATTTATCGTTGAACCTACATCAAGTGTGAAGACTACCCAATGTTTAATAACATTTAAAATAGAGAAAGTATTTAATACGAAGTTCAGTTCATCTATACTATTTTTATATTATAAATGTATCAAATAAGAATAAGAAATGTTTAGAAGAAAAGTGATTGAAATCAAATAAATAAATATTTTTCATGCACTTGTTATTGTATTTCTGCGCTTTCAAAAAGTTAGCTACACAGTAGTGTATGTGTCATAAAGGGACGCACCCAATATTATCATCTCTTATCAGTACTGATAAGGACAAGTAGAACAGGTAGAATCATCATTTTAATTACATTTATTCGTTGGTTGTCGTTTTGAACTTTTTGTTTTATATTCTATATGCAGGGCCGTTTGAAATACCCGAAAGTGTTAATTTTAATTTCAAAATGAGACTTAAAATTGCTTTAGTGCTTTTTGTGACATGTTGTACAGCTTTTGGTCAAGACGATGGCAGTGTAGGTGAAGTGCCCCAAGAAGAAAATCCTAATCCAACGTATATTGATGATACTGAACCAAAACTACCGGAAAATGGTAATGGATTATATATTACACAACTTTTAACGTAAAAAAATGTGCTTTGTTTTTGTAAAATCATTTCTAAAGATTTTTTTGAGTTTTCATGGTAGAACGCCATTATGTATCGTACGCCATTTGCATTTATTCGTAAGTGTAAGTCTAGGTGTACTTTTTGGTTCAAATAAACAGAAAATATGAAAAGATATGAACTAACTAAACTAATTTTTAAAGGCTAATGAAAATACGTTATGTGTTTGTGTTTAACTGCGAAAGCATATTACACCATAATAAATTTGAACAATGAATTTTTTTGGTATGATAAATAGGTACTGCAGAAGTTACAACAAACTTCGTTAAAGTACCTATTTTCTAACAACACCTAGGTATTTAATTTTTTTAGTAAAAAAGTAATTAATTTGTAATTGTTGTTAATTTACGTTATGATTTAAGTACCAATTTTTGGTGATGATTATTTGATGATTCATGCTACCTGCAAATAAGATTATTTAAATTAATAAATGATACTTCTTGTATATGCCAAAGATCTTACGCAGTGTTTTAAATCTTTGGATCTTTGGTTGCAGCGTACTGGTTCAGTATCAAGGTACTGATTGATGAGGTAAGCAAAAACCTTCACTAGATTTTTTTTTCGAGCGCTTCTTCTTGAATACTAATCTTCAANAAGGAGATCTTTAAATAGTACTTGCTGCCAATTAAAAACCACAAAGTTGGAGCCTGTTGAAAAATATAGGATCCATTGCCGATTTGATCGAAAATGCGAACTGTAATATTTTCATCAGCATAAAATGTATTAATATTAATACATTTATATAAATTATGTCTGCTCTTACAGTATTTCGTAAGAATTCCCATGTATTTTAGAAGAAAATAGAACCAACTTAAATACCACATTTTAACGTTTTTAGTAGCATCAATCTTTTCTGTTCTAATTTTAAAGTAAAATCTAATACTGGTCTCTATTTCATAAATGCAAACTACCAATAATAAACAATCTGAATTTAATTATAAATTCAGTCAACATCGAACCAGCAACAAAAAACCGAATTAAATAAATAAATAATACTTTAGTAAAACTTTTTAAAGCACTTAAACGATTAATAAATGAAACGAACGTTCTTTAATAACGACACACGTGAACCAATGATGGTGTACGTTTTTCTGCCTATTGTTTTAATCTTATTCAAATGTATGATAGTTCTGTAATAGAAGAAAATGAAATTTATATACTGGAATAATTTCTATGGCAAAGGAACATTTCCTTTTACTTTTTCTTGGTAGGAGGATTGCGCTGAGGCGTCGCTGGGCGTCCAGAATTCAAACCCTGATATTGGTACTTGGCTTTTTTCTCAGATGGTTTTAATATCTAAAATAGCCAAAGTTTCTAATTTTTTATCTGCATGTTTTCTAACTAAACTACTTCAAAGTTGAAAACTTAACAGAATAATCTTACCTGAAAAGAGCACATTAGTGTCTCATCAACAGTCATCATTCCGCCTGCGTTATCAAATTCACCACAATAATTGGGAGCAGAGAACAATGTTACTAGTTGTCTCTTGGCAAAGAATTCATAACCATCTTCAACAACTTGATGAGCACGGCAGATGAGATCAAGATCATTTCTATTCAAAAATTTTGCTACCACATCAGGGCCAAACGTAAACGAGACGCCTCTGTCATTTTCGCCCCAGCCTTGGACTTCTTTATCAGGGTCTGACCACAGTAAGTCACACAAAAGACCTAAGGAATCGATAACATATTTGCTTTTATAAATTTAAGCAGACATTTGCATAGTTAATGCAATGTTTTAAATAAGCAAAAATATTAGAAACAAAGTTTTCATTGTCTACCTGTATCAGGTACATCAGTAGGTCTCATAATTCTCCTAATTTGTTCCATTCCTTGTAAATCAGGACTCAAGCCTCCATGACAACAAAATATCTTTTCATCAATTATTGCAGCAATTGGCAAACAATTAAAACAGTCTGTAAATGTTTTCCATAATTTGATATTAAATCTTCTTTTACCTAAAATAATAATATAAACTATTAGTATTACAATATTTTCAATATTTGGGTACAAAATTATAATTTTCTCACTTACATTCATCATAAAAACCATATATTCTATTAATAGATGCACATTCATGATTGCCACGTAGCAAAAAGAAATTTTCGGGATATTTAATTTTATAGGCTAAGAGCAGGCATATTGTTTCTAAGGACTGTTTACCACGATCTACATAATCACCCAAAAATAAATAATTTGCTTCTGGAGGAAATCCACCATATTCAAACAAGCGAAGCAAGTCTGTATATTGTCCATGAATATCACCTTAAAAGAGAAACAATAATGCATGTAATAAAATGGTTCAATTCTAAATGCTTACCACAAATCTTTAAAGGAGCTTCTAGTTCAAGTAGTATGGGTTGTTGTAAAAATATTTCCCTTGATTTAAGGCATAGTCCACGCACTTCAGATTCAGTCATCTGAACCGATTTTCCTGGGCGACATCCTCTCACTTAAATAAATAATAAACAATTATCAACCTTTTAAAAATCACCATATAAGTATAGCTGCACTTCTACAGCTCAACAACAAGTATAATTTAGCTTCTAGCTACGGTCGAAGTTAAATCTAATAAGGATAAGGTTAAAAACTGATCTACACTTAATACTTCTTACTCTCAGAAGAAAATATGTTTTTAAATTTAGTTTTCTTCTTTGCGTCCACTGTATTAGAATTTTCTCTAAGTGTTGCATACACTGAGAAGGAAAACAAAACAGATGAAGAAAATGGTAGGGTACATAGGGCAGACACAAAACACATATAAACTTTTTGATTCACTTAGTAACACTAACGTATTGTTTAGTTAAAATTTGAACGAAAATAAAAATGAAAAATACTTTTTAGAAAGGTATATAACAACATAACCAAACATCAAATGAAACGTTAAGGTATTTCACACACATTATGTTGCACAGAATTTTCTTAATTGAAAACATTAAGCACAATTAAAATAAGGAATTACCTTCTAACAATCTGGCAATTAAATTATCAACATTTAATTCGGAATCTGCCATTTTGCTAATGACCTTCTCTAGTTTTATATTTTATTATAACCTAGATAATAAATTGAAATCAAATTAATAAACACAAAAACGTCAAAAACACAATCATAAAACGCGATGTTGCCAACTTTAAAGTTTGGAATTACAGATCGCTAAAACTTGTAAAGATAACGATAATCTTATAATTTTATTGTTTACCTTTATCACTTAAAAATATTACCGTTCTTTTTGTTTTATTGCTAAGATTTTGAATTGAATAGAAATTTAATAAAAATCAATAGCAACTGTTTTAGAGTTTTAAAGCTTGCTCAGTATGATTACGAGTAACATTCAACATGGAGGCCATTTTCTAGTGCGCAAATTCCTTAAATTTATCAATATTTCTTATTTATTTGTTGAAAATAAATACAATAACAGTTTACGATTTATTTATTTATTAAATGATTACTTTAAAAAAAATACATGATTTATTTAGAACCGCTGCAACATTGGCATTTACATCCAGGCTGGCATTTGCATCCAGAAGAACAAGTGCTGCATCCACTCGCTGGAAACAGAATACAGAAATAGCATTTGTTAAAAATACAATTATTTCAGTAAAAGTACATATCAGTAACACCCTACTTTACTATACTATTTCCCAAAATTGCATAAGCATTTGATTAACATTTTCGATTCAATAGAGTAAATTTAGTAAAGAGCGAATGATTAACTTACGTTTGCTTGTTTCTTTTGTGGACGATGGTTCATACGGCATTTTGCTTTGTTTTTTAATAACACCTACAATTGCGATAGGGTTCACCTTTTTGCTAGCAGCTTCAGAAATGCTACAACGTTTGAAATTGGTTTGAAAATTAGCAAGTTGCTTGCCGGCTTTATATAATGTGAACTAACATAACACGTGACCTCTATTAATCGACCGCTGGCGTCCTAACTATTCAATGCCTGTTTTTTTTAATAGAGTATTTAATATAGTATACATTGAATGGAATTTAATAATGAACTGTATGCATAGATGTAAATAAAGGAACATTTTATCGAACTTTGACATCTTTAAAGCAAAGTAAATTTAATTAGACACAAGAATCAAATCAATTATGCGCAGAGTGCTATGTGGTATTTTTTTACAGTGTCCCACTGTCCGTCAAAGGTTTTTCAAGAAACCCTAAATCATGTTCCACTTTTTATTTAAATTAATAAATTTACGAAATAATTTAATTGTTTTTCATGTTCTGCATGCTTGAATTTTAACAATTCTCACTAGGGTTGCCAGATAGTCGGGATTTGGCGGGATTCTCCCAAATTTTTGTATGTCCTCCCGACTCCCAACAAAGTAAAAAATCTTCCGAAAAAGAACTTCATTTTATAAAACAGTAATTTTGAGTTTCCAAATTTTTATTTCAGTGAGAACTCCTTATATAAAAGGTTTTCCCAATTTTCACTGAAAAAGGAGACTTTGTTCTCAGGGAATGAGCTCTTGGAGCTAATAGAAAAATGAAGCATTTCTAATGACATCAATAATGATGAATTGTACAATGATTATTGATTATTATTCTCTAAAAGAATCATTTAATGTAAATCATCTCCCAGAACAGAAATGAATATGTCTAATGACAAAATATGGGCATACTTTATTAAAGGTAAAAATTAAAAAAAAAATATGTGTTTGGCGCTACCCATTCCAGTAAGCAATGCTTATTGTGAAAGTGTTTAGTTTACTGAACAATTTTTACACAAAAGAAGGAATCGAATGTGCATGGATTTGATAAAAGCAGAGTTAATGATTCGACGTAATTTTAAGGAAAATTGTTTGAACTTCAAGTCTTCTTTAAATAGTGAAGAAAGAAAAAAAATTGTTAAATCTGTGAAAAGTAACACAAAATACACGTGGCAAGCTAAAAAATAAATTAGTAAAACAATAAATAACTTGATTTTATTTTTGTTTCTCTCCACCAAAGTCCCAAAATCCCGAAAAATTGTTTTTTTCTCCCGATAATAGTGTCATTCGAGCTGGCAACCCTAATTCCCACCCCCATCCCATGCAGTCACTCTGATCATGTTGCGGTATCAAAATTATCTGGCATGTCGATATGTAGGATTTGATTTTGTCAGTCCATTATATCTCTATATTTTACAAAAGTACTTCTGTATAAAATAAAAAATAGACCTTTCTTTTTTTTTTGACCTCTCTGTCTAGGTATTTATAATGGCAACTTCTTTGTAGTTTTATGTTTTTTATTTCGTAACTAATACCTAATGGGTAGAGTTACTCAATAAAATCAATAAAATAAGGTTAGTTTGAATGTTGCACCCCTTTCTTTATTTAATTGCTTCCGAAAAGTTGCTTGTTTTTAGTAAAATAAAATAAATCATAAATTGTATCTCGAAAATTTAAAGCGTGCTACTACATACATAAATTATTATCTTTGGACCATGAAACTCAAATTTTTATTCATAATTGTAAACATTCGTGGAATGTCTGGGAAATAATTAAGTCATTTTGTATCTAATAAATATTTTGATGATAATATTGTTCGTAGTTTTTCTTAATTAATTATTATCTTAAGTCGGATGTAAGTCGTTTATGATAAGATGGTTTCGTCCCAGTTATGTAGATACAATTCATTTGCGCACAGCTCCACTAAGTACTATTATATCTCAAAAAGTTTTGTGCCACTTGCGAACATTTGGTATTTAAATAGTTAAAACAGTTAACAAGACATGTATACATAAATAATGCTATCCAATTAGAATTTTTCTTTCCAGGTTTAGGATTTGTAGAAAATGCAATGATTCGTAAATGCTGGTGGGTTTAAAATTGCGTTTGCTGGTAAAGGACTGCTAGATCCCTACGGAAAATGACCCTGTATCAAACTCTTTGAAATATTAGATTCCGATAGTTCTCCATGGATAGATTAAAAGTCTCAATTTGCTGCTGTTTGATTACATCGACTTTCTTTCTCCATAAGTACACCATGTCGTTGAGGTGTGCTACACTTCTGCAGAGTGCATACCACTGCTAGTCCAAAACCACTTTACATCCATAATATGCAATACACTAGATATTTGTAACTTGAAATATATAATTACAATTAATTTATTATCATTTTTACTCGCGCCTTAATCTGAATAAAAGATCCAATTAATTAGTAAGTATTGTAAATTCCAAAAGTTCTATTGCCTAATTAAATCATTCAATACACAGTTACTTTCAATATATTGACTATTATATCATACTTAAGAATTTTGAATAGGGGTGAGTCAGTCGGTCACATTTCCTTGTTTGTGACCCACCTACCTCCTTTAAAAAAATGGGGGAATCAATCGGATTGTACCAGCTGATAATTTTCAAATAAGACCTGCTAGTAATTAACCATAAATTTCTCTAAGAGTTCCTGTGCTTAATGTTGCCTAATTGAACCCCCGAAAGGCAGATAGTGAGATTGTCTAATCTTTTGTAAGGTCATACACACGTAAGGGTTCCGTTATAGCCTAACCGAACCCCCGAAAGGCAGATAGTGATACGTAAGGGTTCCGTTATAAGATCCTTTTTCATATTCACTTCAGTATCGTTGATTTCTATTGCGGGGGTAGTAATGAGAGGCCCATGGGAAAATCTTCCTATTGACATTCCCTCCCACTTGCCACGTGAGGCCTACACAGTACATGAGTAATGTTCAGTATAAATTTTAATTGAGGATCAATTAGATAACTCTTTTTAAGTTAACTTAAAAGGTTTTCACAAGTTACGTATCTTTTGAGTTTTTGAGATGTCTTTATATTTGATGTTTGCCTAATTGAACCCCAAATGGCAGACAGTGGGGCTATCCACTCCTTTATATAAGGTCATGCATGCCTCATAAGATTCATCTAAAAAATTTATATAAGGAATACGGAAGAAAGTAACTTTAATTGATGACAATATCTTAAACAGATGAGTTGTTACTATTGAGAATTTGATCTAGACATCGAGAACTACCAGAATCCAAAGTTTCAAATAGTCTAACAGAAGGTTATTTTTCGTAAGGGTNTCAATATGTATAGTAATGTAAGAATAATAAAGAACAATAACTGAATTATTCTTCATATACCTGACTAGACATTTTACATAGAAAATAATTACATCAAACTGTTATAATTTATTAGTTTGTAGTGTCTTCTGTTACCTCCAAATAGGTATTAATTTAAATTTTACAAGTAGTCAATTTATTAAAGAGGTCAGTTAGTTAAATTAAAACTGCAAAGTAATTATATATACATATATTTTAATGTTAAATATTCAATTAAACAAATCTTGTTGATATACTAAGTAGTTTAGTATAATCTGGGCCTTTGACATGTGTCTTATCTTTCAGTAAAGTCCTTAAAATTGTTGGTATTGGAACATGAATTCTTGTGCCCATAGGTGATCCATTATCATCAATTAAAACTACATTATTGCTATCAAATTTTGGTACTTTTGGTTTTTGGTTCTGTTTTAAACCGACTAACACACCTTTCTTCTTTTCACCCTTAATAGCAAGTAAAACAATATCGCCTTAAAATAAATAGAACTTGTAAAAGAAATGTTGTCATATTTAACAGAAAACATACCTATTTTGCCTACTCCTGTTTTATTATAAACGTGGATACATCGGGGTGGTTTGCCCTCCGCCATTGCCCTTTTGCCTAACTCACTGTTATCAACTACTCGTAAACGAGTTTGTTTTTGTATTTCAGAACGTAAAGGGGATAAATGGAAGTTTCGCTTAAATATAATGTTCATTTTTGTTTAACAATTAAAATTTATATCATTATTTGCAGGTTATGTCCAACGTTTGTTACGTCTGTAAACAAAGTTAGTAGGATTCGCTCTATCTTCTCAGATTGCTGTAATCAAGACGAAGTTTAGTTATAGAATTTGACGTTCAGATGCCACTTACGAAAATCCAGAAGTTCTAAACATTTACGATTTTTTTGTAGGGTAATTAAATTTATTGTATAAATTTTAAATTAAAAAGACCAATATTAAAATGAGAAATCTTATCGTGCTAAAGAAATATAGTTTACATAATGATATATTCTTTTATTATGATATATCACGTTTTATTACTTTGGAATTGTATTAAAGTAGGGGTAATTATTTTTTGCTGTGTGTAACTTACTTTTAAAATGGGTACCGAGATTCCTACGCTATTGCTAATTATTAGAGTTGTGTTGTGGTGAGTGAATAGATGTGTTATGATAAATTTCTAACACACAAAGCACATCGATTTGTTTCAAAGGTAAGATTTTTATATTTCTGTTTATTTATACAATAAGAAATACCCAATCTTACATATTAATTACAAAAGCGGTAATCTTTAATAAGAAGTGGCTACAATATTTCTGTCTACAGATAAACCTTTAGTTGCGTACTAACAGTATAATATTGCGTTATGGGTGAACTGAAGAACACTTTATGATATAGGTATAAAATAATTAACTATTATTAGTAAATTTNAGTATTTAATATAGTATACATTGAATGGAATTTAATAATGAACTGTATGCATAGATGTAAATAAAGGAACATTTTATCGAACTTTGACATCTTTAAAGCAAAGTAAATTTAATTAGACACAAGAATCAAATCAATTATGCGCAGAGTGCTATGTGGTATTTTTTTACAGTGTCCCACTGTCCGTCAAAGGTTTTTCAAGAAACCCTAAATCATGTTCCACTTTTTATTTAAATTAATAAATTTACGAAATAATTTAATTGTTTTTCATGTTCTGCATGCTTGAATTTTAACAATTCTCACTAGGGTTGCCAGATAGTCGGGATTTGGCGGGATTCTCCCAAATTTTTGTATGTCCTCCCGACTCCCAACAAAGTAAAAAATCTTCCGAAAAAGAACTTCATTTTATAAAACAGTAATTTTGAGTTTCCAAATTTTTATTTCAGTGAGAACTCCTTATATAAAAGGTTTTCCCAATTTTCACTGAAAAAGGAGACTTTGTTCTCAGGGAATGAGCTCTTGGAGCTAATAGAAAAATGAAGCATTTCTAATGACATCAATAATGATGAATTGTACAATGATTATTGATTATTATTCTCTAAAAGAATCATTTAATGTAAATCATCTCCCAGAACAGAAATGAATATGTCTAATGACAAAATATGGGCATACTTTATTAAAGGTAAAAAATAAAAAAAAAATATGTGTTTGGCGCTACCCATTCCAGTAAGCAATGCTTATTGTGAAAGTGTTTAGTTTACTGAACAATTTTTACACAAAAGAAGGAATCGAATGTGCATGGATTTGATAAAAGCAGAGTTAATGATTCGACGTAATTTTAAGGAAAATTGTTTGAACTTCAAGTCTTCTTTAAATAGTGAAGAAAGAAAAAAAATTGTTAAATCTGTGAAAAGTAACACAAAATACACGTGGCAAGCTAAAAAATAAATTAGTAAAACAATAAATAACTTGATTTTATTTTTGTTTCTCTCCACCAAAGTCCCAAAATCCCGAAAAATTGTTTTTTTCTCCCGATAATAGTGTCATTCGAGCTGGCAACCCTAATTCCCACCCCCATCCCATGCAGTCACTCTGATCATGTTGCGGTATCAAAATTATCTGGCATGTCGATATGTAGGATTTGATTTTGTCAGTCCATTATATCTCTATATTTTACAAAAGTACTTCTGTATAAAATAAAAAATAGACCTTTCTTTTTTTTTTGACCTCTCTGTCTAGGTATTTATAATGGCAACTTCTTTGTAGTTTTATGTTTTTTATTTCGTAACTAATACCTAATGGGTAGAGTTACTCAATAAAATCAATAAAATAAGGTTAGTTTGAATGTTGCACCCCTTTCTTTATTTAATTGCTTCCGAAAAGTTGCTTGTTTTTAGTAAAATAAAATAAATCATAAATTGTATCTCGAAAATTTAAAGCGTGCTACTACATACATAAATTATTATCTTTGGACCATGAAACTCAAATTTTTATTCATAATTGTAAACATTCGTGGAATGTCTGGGAAATAATTAAGTCATTTTGTATCTAATAAATATTTTGATGATAATATTGTTCGTAGTTTTTCTTAATTAATTATTATCTTAAGTCGGATGTAAGTCGTTTATGATAAGATGGTTTCGTCCCAGTTATGTAGATACAATTCATTTGCGCACAGCTCCACTAAGTACTATTATATCTCAAAAAGTTTTGTGCCACTTGCGAACATTTGGTATTTAAATAGTTAAAACAGTTAACAAGACATGTATACATAAATAATGCTATCCAATTAGAATTTTTCTTTCCAGGTTTAGGATTTGTAGAAAATGCAATGATTCGTAAATGCTGGTGGGTTTAAAATTGCGTTTGCTGGTAAAGGACTGCTAGATCCCTACGGAAAATGACCCTGTATCAAACTCTTTGAAATATTAGATTCCGATAGTTCTCCATGGATAGATTAAAAGTCTCAATTTGCTGCTGTTTGATTACATCGACTTTCTTTCTCCATAAGTACACCATGTCGTTGAGGTGTGCTACACTTCTGCAGAGTGCATACCACTGCTAGTCCAAAACCACTTTACATCCATAATATGCAATACACTAGATATTTGTAACTTGAAATATATAATTACAATTAATTTATTATCATTTTTACTCGCGCCTTAATCTGAATAAAAGATCCAATTAATTAGTAAGTATTGTAAATTCCAAAAGTTCTATTGCCTAATTAAATCATTCAATACACAGTTACTTTCAATATATTGACTATTATATCATACTTAAGAATTTTGAATAGGGGTGAGTCAGTCGGTCACATTTCCTTGTTTGTGACCCACCTACCTCCTTTAAAAAAATGGGGGAATCAATCGGATTGTACCAGCTGATAATTTTCAAATAAGACCTGCTAGTAATTAACCATAAATTTCTCTAAGAGTTCCTGTGCTTAATGTTGCCTAATTGAACCCCCGAAAGGCAGATAGTGAGATTGTCTAATCTTTTGTAAGGTCATACACACGTAAGGGTTCCGTTATAGCCTAACCGAACCCCCGAAAGGCAGATAGTGATACGTAAGGGTTCCGTTATAAGATCCTTTTTCATATTCACTTCAGTATCGTTGATTTCTATTGCGGGGGTAGTAATGAGAGGCCCATGGGAAAATCTTCCTATTGACATTCCCTCCCACTTGCCACGTGAGGCCTACACAGTACATGAGTAATGTTCAGTATAAATTTTAATTGAGGATCAATTAGATAACTCTTTTTAAGTTAACTTAAAAGGTTTTCACAAGTTACGTATCTTTTGAGTTTTTGAGATGTCTTTATATTTGATGTTTGCCTAATTGAACCCCAAATGGCAGACAGTGGGGCTATCCACTCCTTTATATAAGGTCATGCATGCCTCATAAGATTCATCTAAAAAATTTATATAAGGAATACGGAAGAAAGTAACTTTAATTGATGACAATATCTTAAACAGATGAGTTGTTACTATTGAGAATTTGATCTAGACATCGAGAACTACCAGAATCCAAAGTTTCAAATAGTCTAACAGAAGGTTATTTTTCGTAAGGGTCTAGTGGGTTCTTTTTGCCGAAGTCGGGGTATGTAAAATATATCTATGTATACAAAGAAGCCACATCGACATTCAAGTTTTTTCTTGTATATGCCAAAGATCTTACGCAGTGTTTTAAATCTTTGGATCTTTGGTTGCAGCGTACTGGTTCAGTATCAAGGTACTGATTGATGAGGTAAGCAAAAACCTTCACTAGATTTTTTTTTCGAGCGCTTCTTCTTGAATACTAATCTTCAACAGAGAGCTATCCAAGGTTGTTATCCTTGTACTCACACACAAAACCAAGTTCCTGTACCTTTTTCCTTAAAAATACTGATTAAAGGGGAAATTACACTCATTAAAAGAAAAATTATAAAAACAGCTTATTTAAATACCAATTGTACCCAAGTGAGACGAAAACATCCCTTGTACGTAATTGGGACGTACGCAACTGATGAACATACTTGCTGCTGTTTATTTTCAGAAGATGCTGATAAATTAGAGAAATTCGCAGGCATAAAATTATATAATTTGGGAGGCTTCTTAAATAAGGTTTTTATTTCTGCTGTATTTTAGTTTGTTTCCAACGATTTTCAGCACCGCCGAGTTTTTGTCACATGATTTCGTATTACTTGTAAGTAATTGCAGACTATGTGACTCTTAATTGGTTCAAATTGGTTTATTTAATTAAGCGAAAGAAATGAAAGGTTGCAGTCAGTGAAAGTTATTTTTTAAAAATGCTGATGGCAATGAAAACAAAAGAGGTACTTTTTTTATGATTAACCGTTGCCATACAATTGACTTGAAAGTAAGAAACTTTTCGACATCAAACTATGAATGAAGAGAAAGCTTTCCTCAAAAAAATTGCAGGAGAGTATTAAACAAACCAAATTTTGGAGCCTTAGGCCTAGTCTTCGTAGTTTAACGTAAACTTAAATCCTGAATCCGTCGCTGACCTATGTCCAAACATTTTATGGTACCTACCATTAATTTACTTAGGTCGTTTTGAACATTGTAAACAATATTATTTACCTTAAATAATAATATGAATATTTTCGTAAATTAATTTTTGGTTTTAATATACATTTGTTAATGCAAACAATAAAAATTCTGAAGTAAACAAGTCTATAAGGCATTCGTAATATTAGTACGTAGTTTAAATTGTTGGGTCAATAGTTTTAACTATTACTTTTTGTAGGTATTTTTACATTATGTATGTACTTAATCTAATAATAAGGTAATAAATATGTACCATATTTTTTTTAAAATTACGTGCACCTTAATTTTCAGAATTTCAATGAGTAATAAGGTAATAAGTGAATACATAAATACTTTAAAGGTTACAAAGACCTTATCTCAAAGTAAACATAAACCTACATGTGTAATGTATTAACGGATA